ATGGCATGTAGATATTATTCGAGAAAAGCCATTTTCATTTATCCACTGGGGATGCAGTAGACATTGTGGCCACACTGCCAATTTTATAAACTCATCTTTTCTGTTTTCTATCCAACCCTTTTATAGGTGTAAATCAGTGTTCCTGATTTTATTAATACTCAAGGAATTCACTCTGCAAGTTTTTAAACCAAAAAAATCTTAGCATTAATAATTCATAGCATTAAGCTTTGGAAGCTTTTCAGAGGACAATTCATATTCATCTAGCTCCTAGCATTTGTATGTTAACCACCCCAAATAAAATATTTTTTTAAACAATGGTGGACAATGGTCAGTCTAGAATGTTTACATGAATCTGTTTCTCATAAATCTACAAAGACTGATGAGGTTATTGGCTATTCCTAATGGCAGAAGCTATCCAAAATTTCAGAGTAAGATTTTTTTTTTTCTCCTCTGGAATTAATGTTAAAAGCTCAAGCTAGCAGAAAAGAGAGCGAGGTCTCCCAAGTCCTGGGTGAGGGACTGGAAAGCAGAATGAAATGGCAAACAGACCCATTGGGTTCATTATTTCCATCTCCAAATATGCCCTGATCCTCCATTTTGGCCTCATACCTTCAGTTTAACAATCCAGATCCTGGGAAGCAAAAGCATGAGGAAGGAACTTTCCAACAGGGGGGAAAAAATTACTTGAAAATTCTGGGTGAATTCCCCCCCCCCCCCCCCCTTTAAAATGTATTTTACATAAGCACGTACAGTATCCATGAGTTATTCCAAAGCACATTTGTAAGGAAGATACTTAGCACTACTGCTATTATGGAAAAACAGAGTTTCCAAAGTCATTCCTTTTCTGAGGAGAATGCTGGGTGTAGCTTGGGATGAGGCTCTCAGCAGCCTGACTACAATTCCCAGGATTCTCTGGACACTGTCGCGGCATAAACCTGATGCATCTTTGTGGTGCCAGGGGGCCTGAATGGATTTTCAGTGCATAAACAAAAAATAATCTTAGTATGCTGGCTATGTGAACAGAACAGATGCTTTGTATACTAGAAAAATGTGTGCGTGTGTGAAGTTTTAAGCATCTATCTGGGTGCTCTCAAATGCTAAGATTTTCCCCTTTCTTTCCCTGAAAACTTATTTCCTATTTCTACTTCCTAAAAGAGGCATTGCACTTCCATGTTTCTCATGGACCTGAATCAGCCACTTTCTTATTCTTTTTTTTTTAACGATCTACTAATTTAGTAATAAATTCAATCTTGCCACTGTGCTTTCATCACATAGAGGCATTACAGCTGGGAGAATAATTAGTGCTTGTATTTATGACAGAGTTTAAATAAAAATTGCACGTTTCTACACTTTTCCCAAATAGAGTTAATTTTTACTTTTTTAGTAAAAATATTTGTTCAAGTATGTTCTTGAAATTCAGACTTTTATGCATTTTTATTTGCTTGTTAGAAACTTAAAATGTACAAAGTTTAAAATCAGTGCATCCGTCAGTACATGAATGTGTTCCAGTTCCTGTAGTTTTGGGAAAAGAAAATTGTATAACTTATTTTCCTTTACAATGTTCTTTTTAAAATTAGACTTAACACTGAAGTGGCTACTTGCTATGCAACTGTTCCGTGAAGTTTTTATGTCAAGATGCTTCTCACTGAAATATATTTTTCTTTTTAAATGTGCACCTCTGGTTTAGTTTTTGAGTGGAAGAGGCATTTTGGTTAAGAAGGCACACCTTGATTTTGATAATCCCTTTTACCCCAGGATCAAGGGACAGGCAAATGGATAGGTTTTGCTCTCGTCATGATTTAAGATTGGATGTTGAATGAAAAGGCACGTCTTCCATCCAGTTTTCCACCTTGATACCCTCAGGATGGGTTGATACCCCATCATTCATTCCCAACTACTATGGATATCGCAAGTCAAACACACTTGGGGGCCACTTGGAGAAGGCTGGAATACGCATTACCAAGTCCGTTTTCATGAAGAATTCAGTTCAACAAGTGCTTCCAAAAGTCATGCTGGAAAAAAGCCAGTGCTTTTTCCCATGCTGCATAGCATCTTTAATGGCATTTTCCAATAAGCCAAAGTACTCTTAAGGCCAATGCAATAAAGTAAAAAAACCCTTTTTGGACAATTCAACAATAGAACCCAATGGACAAAGGATTTCAGAAGAGTTTTAGAAAGATCAGACACAGATAAATAGAAAAAATAACATTTTTATTTACAAATATTCCAAATATTGGATGCTGTAAACAAAATTCACAATCTGTTTCCTCTAGCCCAGAAGCAAATGCTTTTCTTACTTAAAGGGGTCTGTTTTCCAGCCTTTACTTGGTTCAACCTCCAACCGAACCCAGAGTCAACAAATTCCCATAGCAGGAGCAGTTGAAGGAACAGCTGGATGCAACAGGATGCTTTGTTGAAGACTACAAGTTCAGAATTCTGTAGAATTTGGAAGAATGACATTGACAATACTTCCTATAGACTTCAAGGGCTTGCAGTGCCATATATAGCGCATTGTAGAATGCATAGGCTTTCCAAAGTTTAAGTAGTTGTAATCATAGCAAAAAGCAAAACATACACATTGACTTTGGATTTTTGTCCATTGCAATGGAAACGGGAAAGACATCCAAAAACAAATTAAACAAAAGAAAAAAAAAGAAAAAAGTGCTGAATATGTCATTAGATATATTTCCTTCTCTGTCTCTTTTCTTTTACACAATTTTAAACTCCACAAACTATTTAAAGCTTTCTTTGAATGAATAAGAGCCTTCAATAATATAACTTGCATATAAAGCATTTTACAATAGGCATAAGGTGTGCATGAAACTTTGTGCAATACCTAGCAGCAAGTAAGTTTTAAAGCCTTTAAATAAAATGAGTTATGAAAACAATAATCCTGCTGGCATTTTTTTTATTGTCTCTTCATTTTTGCTTGTTTCCTTTCAAATAATTTGTTTCACGTGTGCATGTTGCAGATTATATACAGTACAATTTCACTGAACAACTTGGGACTGAAAATAACACTTCCAATCATTTGAGATCCACATAACAGATATGGGCAAACAAGATTTTCAAAATATTCACTATTAAAATTATTCTTTTAAAATTGAATAGAATACAAAACCTTACATTCTTTTCTCTTTCCAGCCACTGTCAAACTAACAAATTCAGATCTTCCATGATTCAGAGATAATTCACTGGAACCCCAATCAATTTAGCTATAAATGAGATGTCTTATATTAAAAACATTGCAACAACTTTTAAAATCTACTGAAGAAATAGTACAGGATCCTAAACGGTAAGCATTTTCTCCTCAAACTATTAATCCATCAACATTGAAAAAGGAAGGGGGATATTGCCAAACCCTAGAAAGAACTAAGTATGCGCCCAGAAAAACTAAACGATTTTGAAAATACAGGTTCTAAGTTGTTTTACCAGCAGTCAATAGCATCAGACACTTTCTACTACAAAAGCCCACCAATTATAAGCCCCCCCCCCTAAAAAAAAGTATAATTGGGTGGACGTGTCTGTAGGCTAATGAAAACTACTGAGCCTTTGAAGTAGAGGAAAATAATAATAATTGCCAGGATTTTACCACATCCATTTGCTGCAATGAGCAACTAAACTCTAAACTATGGAATGTGGTACAGAGGGTGGGCTGGGGGACCTAATAGGATTTTTTTTTAAAAAATGGAAAAACTACCTGGAAAGAAAATATGCAATATACCATCAGCATTTTATAGCTGTGGTCCTGCCAGTGATCCCCAACCTCTTGCTAGAGTCGATGTGACTCATTTCTTTGCAGCAAAGTATCTGCAGTAAGGAAAAGATAAAACCACATTACCAGCTGATCCCATTTCCCCAGCCTTCAGCTCAGCTTCCACCAGGAACAGCAGGTTTCCCTGACCTGTCTCCCCCACCCCTCCTATCCTGCATTGGACTCATTCATTATTCTGTTCTGGAGGGTCACAGGAATAAAAGACAGATAAATAAGTGAAAGTCTGGGCTTTTTTTTTTTTTAAACCAAATGCAAATTTTTACCTTTCTCTTCATTCACCTCAGATGAGACTGGGTTAACAAATGCAAGCATTGGTTTATAACTAAGCACTAATCAAAATAACCTTTTAAAAAGGTCACACCTCTCAGGCATCCGAAGGAGGAAAGGCAAGCAGGGACAGTTCTTTCAAGACAGAACAAAAGATGGCTTCCCCACAGGATTCACTGAGGGGACAAACTCTGAGTACTGTAAACACACGGGGAATCCTATTCAACTGACTAATGTAGAACTAATCGTTCATAATTTAAAAACGAATAGAGGAAATAAGATTGTGAGTAGCTTTACGAGGGGCCAAGGACAGCTTGTCTGATTAGCAACTTACTAATCCTTACATTAGAAGTATTTCATCTTGTTTTATCACTGAGAGGGATGCTTTAAGTAACATTTGATTCTACAAGTGTTGGCGGCCTTCCTCCATCAGTACTAGAAATGTCAGATCGTTAAAAATGGGGGAAAGCAGACAAGCTAGGCTCCAACACAATTCATAAAGCATTCTAGCCCTAAATTATTATCTTGTAAACAATTGGCAAATCAAATAAATAAAAATAAAATAAATCCACATGTAAGTTCTTTAATTGATTATTTTAAAGATCTCTTAACTCTGGATTTGAACATTATGGCTAGATTTCATTCCCTTTTAAAAACCAGTGGCTGGAGGAGTAAGAAAAAAAAAAGTCAGGACTCTTCTGTATAATAATCAATGCAAAGGGGACGGGAGAACATGCAGTAAATTGATTCTTTGAGAAAGCAAAAATGATTCCTTTTAAATAAGACACAATATTAAGCTGCAACATAGAGTGTGGCAATCAAATTGAAGGTGTTTGATAGTGTATGTATGTGTGGATAGACACATACATGCACACAAAGGTGCAACACGAAGGGTTCATTTCACATTTGCTAAGTTATAGTGGTCATGGAATGCATGGTGCATTCTGCTTGCTCTTCAAAAGAAATATTAATCATAAGTATTTAAATTACCAAGTAAAATAATATTTGGGGATGAGGGAAGCCACCTGTTTGAGCCACACTCCAGTTGGTGTCTTATTCCATCACAGAAATATGTAGGAATTTCTAAGCTGAACATTAAAAACACATTATATTAAGGTACAATAATTCAGAGTTAAAGACGTTTTGTCCAATTATGAAACCCGTGGCTTACAAATAGGCCAATTAATTACTTTTATCATTGGATTCTTATTTTATATAGGATTAATTTGTGTATCTAGATTTTTCAGGTATAGGATTCTCTGCAAAGTACCTCACAATGATTATATCCTGTTGCAGACTGGAACACACACACTAAAGCTCATTTAAAACATTCCTTAACATTTGCTACATTTCCCTAACATGTTTAAAACATATGAATATATACATATATCATGTTATACACACTCACACTCACGAAACAATAAACATACACATACATTGTGTACCAAAGATTGCAGAACACCAACAATATAACCTTTATATAGGTATTTGCAAGGAAAACAAATAGGAATATCCTCCACCATTTATTCACAAGCTTATTTTTTTTTTAAAGTTTCTTGTGTCCCTGATAAAAAAAAAAAAAAAATGCAAGATTAAACCACAAAACTATATTTTTTTTCTCACTTCAAATTCTCTGAAGGCATCAGGCACTTTTGTTTAAAATTTGTGTATACAAATATATATATTTATATTTCATAATCTACCATATCCCGTCTTTACTAGGATAATTTATCTTTGGTCCTAAAGCATATGAAGCTTGCCACAGCTGGTTTTCTTGCTTTCCACATTTTTTTAAAAAAATGTGAAGCATGCACACAGCTGGAAATAATGAAATTTGCCATAATCCTTCCCCCCCCCCCCCCTCCCCCCCCCTCCCTCTTTTTTTTTTTTTTCTTTTTTTTTTTTTGAGCAAGCCATTTCTCTTAAAAGCATTCTATTCAAGCAAGCTATACATTCTGTGGCAACCCTTGCTGGGCAGCATAATTAATGCACGCTCCAAAGAGAGAATTCCAAAATACACCTTATTCCAATGTATCTGTATATTTTTGCGTCTAACTTTTAATTCCTGAAAGGATATTTAGCTTTTTCCTTTTTGTTTTTCTTCTTAGGTTCCTTTTTATTTCAATGTTCAGATTCCATTTTTTTTAAAAAATCATCATCATCAAGGCAGCCTTCCCAACTTTTGCTCTGCCATAGCTATGGGAGCAAGCATTGCCAACCCATATTGTCATCAACCATTTCTCCTAGGTTTATTTCAAGGCGATCTAGTTGCTCAAGACAGGTTGTTGCATACTTTGGGGTGGAATCCAATAGCTTTTGGTTCTTTTCTAATATCATGCTGTTAACGCAAGAGAGAAGAACCAGAACAACTTTCCTCCAGCAAAAAAAAAAAAAAAGGTAGAACAAACCATGTGGCACTTCCCACTTTTTAAAAGAGGAGAACTACCCTCCCCGTTTATTTGCTTCCCCGTGTCTCTTAAAACCGGTTAGTTCCCCAAGTCTATCAAAGACCGGTTAGTTACAGGGCAACCAAGTAGAATAAGTGTGCTGCTGACAGGGGAACATGGGCTGAACCTGAGCAATATAGTAATTGCTGAAGTTAGCATCAGCTACGTAAGGGGCTGGCTGGTAGTAGCAAGTGACATTGGCCACATTGGGAATGATATTTTGCTCAGCCAGCACCCGGATGGCCAGCATGGTGATAAGATTTAACGTCTGTCGCCTCTCGTGTCCCATCAGGCACACTGTGCTCTCATTCACCACCCCATGAAGGGTCATGAGATAGTCATACTTGCGGTCCTCGAGTCCCACAAAGTGGTTCTGCAAGTAGGACTCCAGCTTGCGCTGCTGTTCTCCAATGTCTGAGAAATCAATAAAAAACCTGGAGCACATGTACCTCTGGAGGGACTTAATCTCAGATTCGGAGGCAGCCCTGAAGCCTCTCACTAGGAGGTTGCAGTATTTAAGGAGACCGCCTCCCCTGATCTCTTCCGGGTTTCTAGTGGCGATGGTCTTGTGACAAAGGTGGTCAAAGGCTTCTTGGAAATCCCCATAGACGCTCTCTCCAATTATAGTCGGGTGAAAAGTTTCGGTCATTGGATTTTCAGAACATTCGTAAAAAAGAAGGAGGGAGTCCAGCTTGATCTGGAAAGAATCTACGCTGAACTCAAACTGCCTCCTCAAAGAGTCCATAAATTTCAGCTCCACGTTTTTGCCACTGTTGTTGGATAATGAGATGAGGCTCCATCGGTCAGAATCATTGCAGACTTTCACCATTTTCTGTACGTAGGCTTCCTGCAATTTGAAAGAAATAACCCCCACCACCAAAAGAGAGAGAGAGAGAGAGAGAAGAGAGAAGAGAGAAGAAAAGGTCAGGAAACCCCAGTAGCAGCACTTGCTTGAGTTTTCATATGTATCTGATCCCAACCTTACCCTGTCATCCCCAGAGCTCAGGCATAAGGAAGAGACAATGTGGGCAGACTTAGTAGGTGCTCTGCAGACAGGCAGTGATTAAAGACCAGTGAGGAGTGGGGTGGGCACTCATGCCATGATAAATGCACAAAAGGGATGTTCTGTGTTTAGTCTCTTCCTCCAAAGATGTAATAAAAATGCATACAAAGTAACAGAAGTAGAATTACTTTAGAAAATTGCAATTTAATTATGGCAAAAATGAAGGGGATAACACACTAGTTCTCATTTTTTACATCTTTAAAATATAAAAAAAAATGTTTTACCTTTTGGAGAAACTGGAAAATTTCTAAATAAAATTTACACTTATACGCCTGCCCTCCAAACCAAGATAATTCGTGCAGAGTATTAACTTAAAGGATTTGGATCATTCCCAACTTCTGTTAAAAGGCCATTTGGCTTCAGTAAACTTCTTGAGTGTCGCAAAAAATAATTAAGCTTAATGTAGTGCCAGTGAATGAGCACTTCTTCCAAAAATAAGAATAGAATAGAAAATAGAATAGAAAATAAAAGAATAGAATAGGAGAGTGGAATAGAGTAGAGTAGAGTAGAGTAGAGTAGAGTAGAGTAGA